CCACAATTCTTGTTGCATTTCCTGATGCGTGGATGCTACTCTTGAGTCTTGGCTCCAGTACAGTGAGTCCCTACAAGCTACACGCGTCATTCGGATTCCGGGATGATATCAGACTATCATTGTGCGCATCCAAAAGACAAAACTGTCACTACGCAGCGACGCACGCCGTGCCACGCCCGCGTATTCGACTCTCGGGGATTCCGATGGTGTTCCTCCGAGTTACTTCTCGGCCTCAGATTTGAGTTCCCGCTGTGAGTAGAAATATTGAGTGGTACACTTCCTGAGCTCCATGCGGCCCAGGGCGCAACTCTATGTGGTAAGGTTGAATGCTGACCGTTTTCACCTGTCTCGAGAGGATGCCGTACGGGTCCCTGAATGATTTCCTAGATGTCCACGATATGTGTCATTGGCTACCGTTCGACACAATCGACGCTGTTCAGTGCCCTGGTATGTGTCCAAATTACTTGTTTCTTTCGTTCAGAGCCCGATCCATACGGACATCGGGAGCTTTTAGGCTGTCCTTCGGCGACGCCAATCTTCCACGACGAATCAATCTCCGGACATTTTCTCATCAGGGCTTATCGTGATAGAATGTCCGCCATAATATTGAGACTCCTGGCGTAAGGAAGGAGTTGGTTGGGATAGCATGCCGCTTGAGAAATGCCACTGACTCGCAATTTCGAAGCTGATGGATGAGCGTCTAGTCCGGCAGTGATACCAGATCTTGGTATACGAGAATTCCACAATGCTGCCGACGTTCCACAAGTGCGATTGCCGGAGGGAGTAAATGGGAGGGGAAGATAAGGAATCTTTCCCTGCAAGACAGTTTGGGCCCACCCGCACAATACGACGAGGACGCCTCAGATACACACCTCAGGGTTGTCAACCGTAGCAAGGCGGCAAATGGATGGTATGAGGCATATCAATCATTCCTCTCTTATCGAACTTCGCATTCATAATCAGAACAGTAGGCAGGGTCTGATAGAGGGAGGTTCGTCTCAGCTACGTCCCACACTCTACCCAGCGTTGTGGGGAGAAAATGTGACATTTCGCACGTTGAACGAGAATTAATCATTTTTTAGCTCATCACCGGGAACAATAGGCAAAACCTACTGCATGCCTTACTGAAATGTCTTGGACTGAGGTCAATATAATAAATACAGAAGCTAACCTTGGGATGCCGAGTGTGAATCGGATTCATCGAAGACTAGATCGGGGAATCTTGCGCTCAGCGTCAACGGTAACCCAACCGAGGCTGAGGCCCGCTATTAAAAAGCGACCGAAGCACCGTGGCGGGACTAAGGTTGCGAGAAGAATCCCCCACGCCGGTTCCATTCCAAAATTCGACGCGACTCGGGCGACGCTTAGACCTTGGGTTGCGCAGTTTTACATCCACCTACGCCATATTTGAGCTGGGCGCGGTCCATAGCGAGGTCCAGACTGCTGTGAGTTGGTTGATCGTTGGCTGATCATTGGGTGGAAAGCTCGCGGAAATAATGGGCAGCCTGAGCTGCCTAGGGCGGGGCGTCAAGGTCAAGGTCGAGCCAGTGCCGAGCCATGCCTGAGGATGCCTCTGTACTTCTGTTGTTGAAGTCACATAGGAATCAGGTTCCGCTGTACATCCATTCATCTCCGATTTGCGTCGTTCGGGAAGAAAATGTTTATCGCCCATGTATATTAAGCCCGGGTGCGCCCGTCTAGATCCAGAATCCAGATGGTACTTGGTGACTCGTGGTTTCCGAGCCCTTGAAGCGTATGGGTGACTGAGTCTGCAGCTGCGCAGGAGTGAATCAAAATGTGGGACAGTTGATGGATGGATGTGCATTGCGGGGTAAAGCCGATGGCGACGGCGGTTATAATGCATGCCTTGTCGTCCGGCTTTAGGAAGCTGCGCTTTGGGCTCGAGACAGTGAGGCTGAGGACATCGTTCAAAGATGAACGTCTTGGGCGGAGCTCCTTGAAGTTGAATGTATGAAACCGATTTGGCGTCCAGAGTAGCAGACAGCATAACGCGGCTAGTTGGCCCTATCAAGTCGCACAAGAACCTGTTGCGTCCTAGATTCTAAGCGCGTTCAAACTTGGAGATTCTACGAGTCCAGCACCAGTGCATGATCCGGAAAATAAACAATTAGGCCAGCAAAGCCGGGTATCCAGAGCCTTTGGCCGTCGGTGAACAAGCGGGCGGGCATGTCCGGCGGTGAAGCGCAGACGACAAATCCTTGGAGATATACTGGGAGAGAGGCGACATATATGAAGCCCGCGTCGTGGGGGCGGACTCGGGCGGATCAAAACAGATAACATTCATGATGAAGCGCAGGCATCGGCAACGTCAGAGCTCGCAGAGTGCTAGACAAGTGCTTGAATATATGACTCCGTTCCTCTCGTATGTCTGCCAGTTGAAACTACCCTCGCACATGTGACTCTGGATGCAGTAGGTCTCCTGTTTTATTGAGGGAGTCCGGTCATTCGCCAGGTCAAAAGAAACTCCGAAAGAATTCACATCGTCTTCCTGATTAGTACAAACGCGCAGCTAGTGCCTTTGCGAAGGAGTACATGCCGTTACGGGCGCAAAGGCGTGGGATCGCGCAGCGGAAGCGCGTTCAAATTCGCGTAACAACGAGCGGTGATAGCAAAACTATTCAGAGGCACGAGAGATGGAGGCTGTCAAGAGAAACTAAGCCAAGTCGCCAAGTCACACACCGGAGGGATCGAATAATTCGAGATGGGCCGCGCTTGGACGGGGTTCCGAGAAGGACCATCGAGCAGAGGAAACGAGTTGTGAAAACGATAATAGATCCCGCCGTCGAGGGCGGCGGGGGCGCAGGCGTCAGGATTAGGTGCGTTCAGGATTAGAGTCAAGGGTTCTGGTTCAAGTGATCGTCGCGCGCAGACCGCCAGCAATAGGTCAAACTCTCAGGTTAGCAGCAACCAAGCTCTGAGATCCGAGTTCATGCAAAGTGGAGGGACGAGAGAAGCGGTGCAGTGGCTATGACGACCAAACACATCCACGTCTCGGCATGATGCCATCACGGCGCGGTTGTCGCTTTTCATTTCAACTTTTTCTCCTCAAATACTTCCAGTGTCCTTCAGTCCGCCATCGGGGCCGTAATTGTACGCTGTGCATCTGGACGAAAGTCATGCACCCCGGACCTGGCGCTTCCATTAGAATACCGCGCCGTAACGGTGGTCCCACCTTATCCATGGACCATTGCATTTGCATCGCATCCCACTGGTGGCTGATAACTTTCCAATACCCATCTCAAGACCAAGCTCGCCGCGCGGACTAAGATCTCTCTCAGGGCAACTCCGTCTTCCTAGATCATGGTCCTGGCTTGCAGCCGCATGGCGGTGGCGATCTGCTTCCGTTCCACGCAGCAAGCAAGGCTGCAACCGGGGATCGACACAGACAGCAACGAAGCGACGCACCTCTGCTCTGAAATTAACAGACTCACTCTATTGTGGGATAGTTACTTGCCTGATTGCGCTCTGCTCTCGTACCGGCGATCCTGCGCCCATCCGTAATAACAATCTCCTGCAAAGAACATCTAGCCTCCCTAGCCCAAATTTGTATGATTCGTCCCCAGGTCCCTTGTTGCGAGCCTCCTCCGGACCCACCTTGCAGGCTGTAACGTGGCTTATCCTGGCGCAATCTAGGATGGCGCGTCCGGACGGTGCGGGGATTGTGACGAAGTCATCTGCCAATCCGACGACGAGAACTTCCGGCAGCATATTTTGCACCCCGGAATAGTCCCAACGAAACTGAGCCATCAAACGCCCCCACTTACCAACGATCTTTCATCACCTTTGTTTTGACTCCAGCAAGCTAACCGCATGAAGCAAATACCCTGACAAGGCACTGCCTGATCCACATGCAGTCGGAGTGGCCAGCATTCCCTGCCGTCCTCTGCCTTTTCGGTACACTTCCCAATTCGTTGTGCCACTGCCAGCAGGCGCGGAGTTTCAGCATCACACATCTCCGTGGAAGTTTATTTCCGCTGGCGGCATACTCATTCCTGGTCATCTGGGCGTTGCTTCCCTTGCCATCCGACCGCTGGCGCATTTCCCTCAGGGCCTATAAGTCGCGAAGACGTCACCATTGCACATGTTGAGACGCGCACGAAGGAAACGAAGCGGCAACGAAGCGCGGCGTGTGTCGCCTGTCAAGCCGTCCCGCGTTGAACTGGAATTCGGGCACGGCACCCGAAATGTCGGCGTAAGTACGCCACGGCGAACAGTGTGTGAGTACCTACTATTTCGAAATTCGTGTATCTTGTGCTCCAAAATGGCTTCCGTACTCGCCGGATTTGGACTTTTATGGCATGGATCTGCGTACCGCTCGGCCGGGAAACCAGTGCGGGAACCAACGGCACAAATGCGCTTTGTTCGGCCATACATATAACCTGGGAACGCTCTTCGTACTCATCAGCACGGCAACTAACTGGCGCCTCCTTGCTCTGGCTGATGGTGCAGCTTATGCAGCGACTGTTCAAGAGGACTACAACTTGGCTCATCTTGCGCTCCACGGGACGATGGCGGCAAGACGCCAACTGGAACGCGCCTCCCACGGGACTGCAACCGCTGGGAATAGAACACACAATCCTCGGGCTCCGAAGTATCCACGTTTCCTAAATTACAGAACCCGAACGACGATCGCCCAGCTTGGTAGGTCCGCGTGATAGATTCGTTGGATGCCTTCCCAACCACGGACATCGGCGAACAGGCACAGAACAGCGGCGTCTCAGGCAGGGATGAACGTGCTAGCCGTATCTCCCGCCGAACGGCATGCCGTGCGCGCCGAATTCAATCGACTGCGGTAATTTTGCCAGCCTCCGCGAAGTGTAGTCGCTCAATTTTACTGTTTAGGTTTTTGTTCGACCAAGTCTTAGGTGTGTGTATCATACCATTAGTGCCTTCTGGCTCTCATTTATGCCTCGCCAAGCCCCTGTATGTAGCCGAAGAGAACCTGACGAGAATCTAAAAGCAACTCCTTGACAGGCGTATGCACCGGTGGGGAATCGAACCCCGGATCGCCGTTCAAGTACCGGTTTCTCTCGACGATTTTATGAAACCGGTGCATGTTCCATGCACAACCGGTGCTCCTTGATTTCGTGTTCTGTGTTCCTCTACGCAGATGTGGGTGACGAGAACCCTTCGAGTAAATAAAGATTGCAATGGAAGGTGGAAGGTCCCGCGTGCACCGGGCGATCCAGTGGATGTTCCATACACTACCGGTGCGTTCTCCCTTCATCTGCACCGCCTTGTATAGATGCTTGTATTCAGAATCGGATGCACCGAGGGGAAATCGGGCTGGTTGTTCTGTCGCGCAATCATCAATTACCGCGGCGCATGGACCATACATCACCGGTGCGTCATGGCTCTGTTCTACAGAGAGTGGAGTGTATGGATGGGTGAACAGAAGACCTTGGAAGGGGAAAAACAAAATTCATATTGGACAGATCATGCACCGCGGGGGAATTGAACCCGTTCAACTTGTGGCACTAATTCAAATTTGGCTGGTGTTTCATTCTTAATTTCGGAATGATTGAAAAGAGGGGAGTACATTAAAAATATTGTACGTGCACCGGTAGGGAACCCTATCTATATGATAACCGACATCCGCACACACCCGTGCGCAGCGAGGCTCGAGCGGCTCGCGTAGTATTTTGAGCGCGTCGGCGTGTTCCTGGACCTAAAAATACATGTCTAGTTGAACTTCGGATGACTCGATATAATCACCGGCGCGTAGTCGTTCGCGTATGTAATTAAGTAACGCTGCCGAATGCCGGTGACGGCACGGGGACCTTGCTTACTTCGGAGATAAGAGAAAGGATCGGATCGGGATCATTGCGAGACGGGCATCACGATTTGTCGTCTAGATCTGTGCCACGACCACGATTGTATAAGTATTGACGACTGACATGCAGAGGGTGGCGTTCCACCATGGATTTCGACGTTCTTGTGGACGATGCGCAGCTCGGGGGTGTGGATCACGCTGAAGACTTGGATGAAGATGCAAAACGGATACGAGGCCAAGACGCGGACGATGCGCAGACACTGGATCCACCACTACTCGACGCGCTGGCGAAGCCCGAATCATCTTCGCCCCGCCGGTTTTCCCCGCCCTCGCCACGCTCCCGGCGCCTCGAGCACTCGTCGTCGGTCGACTGTCCGCGACTGCCCACTCGCCGCCCCTGCTCACCCTCCCGCCCGAGCTCCTCATGCTCATCGCCCTCCACCTCGCCACCGCTCCGCCGAACCTCGGCCCTCCCGCCGCCCTCCTTCCGCTCCTGCGCACGTGCCGCGCGCTCCATGCGCGCCTCGGGTTTGGCGGCAATCCAGCGCTGTGGGGCCGGATCGGGCGGGCCAAGTTCGCCCGCCCATCGCTGGCTCCTAACCCACACGCCAACGGAGGGAACCCGCTCCTCCATTCCGCACACACCCTCCGCGCGCACTGCGTGACGCTGCAAACGCTGCGCGCGGGCGATCCGTACGCGTCTGGGGCGGGCCGCGCGCTCATCGCTGCCTACGCGTTACTCGTGCAAGATTCTTGGGCTGCGGCGCCGCTTGCTGCGTCGCAGGAGGGGTTGGGAGCGTTTCCCGAGGCGCTTCGGCCGCTGCACGCGACGACTGGGGAAGGAAAGGCTACGGGGATGGGTGGGAAGAACCGAAAACAGCTAGCGTGGGCGGGGGCGCGCGAGTTCGCGATGCGGTTCGTGCGGGAGAGGCTGTATGAGGGACGGTATGGGGAGGAGGAGGATGAAGAGGACGCAGACCTCGCGTGGTGCGTGGGCTGGCCGCGGGACACAGCCGCGGGCGCGGCGGCGCTCTGGGTGTTGTGGTTCTTCGAGGGGTGGGGTGCGTGCATTTTTTTTCCTATCCCTTCTACATTACACCTGTCCAAGCGCGTCATTCGCGCGTTTATTCAATCACGCGTCTTCTTCCCATTCCCCTCGACTATTCCTATGCTTTTACTCTCTTCTTCCACATCTGATACAGCTATCTAACTACAATTTTCGTCCCTACAGACACCCTCCGCGCCGAGCCCGAGTCCGCGCGCCGCGCGCTCATGGCGCTCTTGCTGCCGTTTGTCGTCGCGCCGTTTCGGGTGCGTTCATTTTCTATCCTTTTCTTCGTTCTTTCCACGCGGACACTGCACGCACTCCTGCGCGCGTCCCCGGTGTTCATTACCACCCCGACTCTTCCTCGACACGGAGCTTCGGACGGTCCCCACGCATACGACCTCCGTGCGACGGGCTGCGGAGTACACATCCCGCCCACCACCGCGCCTAGCTGCGCTCCGTGGATCTGCGTGTGCGTTCGCGTGTGTACGCGTCCTGCGGTATACGCCGCCCCGCTCGTCGCTCGTGTCCCGTTATGTGTTAGTGCTTGTCGTCCGCGAGCGTTAGCGCTAGCCGTTGTGCGTCATTGGCTGCGTCACCCTCAGTGTAGGCGGCGGCGCGTCGCCCTCTTCCTTCCTCTACTCACTCCCGCTGTTATATCTCTTCTTATTCTGTATCCTCGGGCTGACAAACCCCTCTAGTACCCCTCCACCCTCTGCCCGCCGCACCACTATTCCGTGCCTCTCCTGCCCGCCGTTGCGTTCGCTGCGTTCGGGCCGCGGAGGGAGGCCATTACGGTGCCGACGCTGCATGGGGCGTATCCGATTTATCCGTTCGGGAAGGGGTGGGGCGGGCGGCACAGCGACGGGCCGCGGGATGCTTCCAGTTCTTCGCGCGACCTTTCGAGTTCCTCGAGCGACAGCCCCGGAGAAGAGGGTGCGCAAGATGCGGAGGACACGGACGACTCGCCGTCGAGCGGCGTCGGAGCTCGACGATCGCGCGATTCACGGTCGCGCTCGCCACCTTCGCGACGACAACGCGGCTCAGACTCTCCACCTGCCTCCGGCTCGGGCTCGGGCTCCGCGCAGCTCCTCCCCCCATTCCGACAACCCGACTCCGTTTCGCGACGACGTCGATCCCGATCACGTTCCCCGCGTTCCCGCCGATGCCATTCTCCTTCCCGGCGACCCGCTTCAAATCCACGCTCCCCACAACACGCGCGGGCTCGACAGTCCGACGCCAGCTCCAGCGGCTCCCGCTCTCCGCCTTCCCCCCCACGACGATCGTTTTCCCGCCAAGCACGAAGATCCGAGCCCGGACTCGCGCGCACCCTCCTCACCGCGCCCCCCGCCCGGCTCCTCTTTTTCGCGCGCATGCAGGCCGGCGGGCGCATGGGCGTCCCGCCGCACCTCGCGCGGGACCGCGCGGAGGCGGCGGGGAGGTGGGCCGCGAGCGGCGGGGCGGGCCCGCAGCCGATTGGGCCGACGCAGGAGGACATACACGAGAAGAACGCGCGCCCGATTGTGCGGTTTGAGCGGCAGCTCCCGGGGGTCCCGCTGCCCCCGGGTGGTGCGGCGGTGGGGATGGGTGGGTCGGGTGAGGATGGGGAGCACGCGAATCCATGCGCACCGGCGGCTTCGACGTCTGCGGGTCTGACGGCTTCGCCGGCGGCGGCGCCTCCCGTCGACCCTGCGGCGCTCGCAGCGCATGCGGCTGCACGGGCCGAGGCGGAGGCGGCGCGCGCTGTGTCGTTCGTCGAAGTAGACGAGGATCTCGAGGGAGGCGAGGGTGCGGATGGGGACGCGGCGGCGGGCGCTGGGCGGCGCACGCGTGGCGCGCGCGGCTTTGTCGGGGGTATGGGGATCCTTCGACGGGCTCGGCTGCGGGCACGGGCGCTGCATCGGCTTCGGCTCCGGGCACTGCTTCGAGGTCGGCGTCGACGCGACCCTCGGCCACCCGGCGCTCCGACGAACGCAGGCTCGAGGAGGAACACGCTCGGGAGGGGGAGGACAAGCGCGTGGGACGGGGCGCGCGGCGCCCGGACGGATTGGGCGCGTGTACGAGCTGGGGAGCTTTGCGGGGCTGTGGGCGGGGACGATGCTGGTGAGCCATACGTCCGCTTCCTTGCTTGCATTTCTCTGTGTACAAACACCGCGATCGCGCTGTACCACTGGTTACATTCCCTCGCTCTCATATTCTTTGCTTTGCCCTCTACCGACGCTAACACCCTCCCTCCAGATGCCCTCCGAGCCGCCCTACACTGCGCTCCTCTCCGCGCCCGGAGGCGCCTTCCCGCGCGGCGGCCTTGTGCGCGATGAATTCGTCGCGGCGGCAAGGCCTGTGTATATGCGTATCGCTGAACACCACTCGTGAGTCATTCATTTTCTTCTTTTCCCCGCTCTGCACCCTTCTTGTTCTCGTTCTCCACCGCCCCAAACGCGACTAACACCGCGCGTCCCCAGCTTCCACCCACACACTCCCGTCCCGCCACCCCCGCCCGACAGCACCACCGGCGAGGAAGGCATGCGCGCCGGCTGGCTCCCCCGCGGCGCGCGCGTCCTCCCGCTCTCCGCGCACCAGATCGCGATCCGCGTCCCCCAGCGCGTCGTTCAGGCCCGGCGCCGCGCCCGGGGTCGTTCGAGGCGCAGTTTGGGTACGCGGACGCGGATGTGGGGCGGGGAGTTGCGATGGGCGGGGGCGTCGGCGGGCAGAGGGGCGAGGAGAGGGTGTTCCTGTACGAGAGTGTGCCGGAGGGAGGCGTGAGGTGCAGGGCGGAGGCGCATGGGGAGGGGTGTCCGGGCTGTGTCAGAGTGGAGGAGAGGGCGCGGCGGGCGAGGGGCGGCGGTGTTGATGGAGATGGGGACGTCCGATGGAGGTGTCGCCGTCCGCCGACGAGCGCTCGTCATTGTCGCAGAAACGCTCCGCCACATCCTCGTCAGAATCTGAAGACCGCACCGCCTCCAACTCTCTTCCCCTCGACGGCGGACCGGACCTCATCCTCTAATCACGACCGCCGCACGCCCCTCCGCTCTTCGCTCGACTCATGGCCAGAATGGGAGGCGCCGGCATGGACGGGCACCGCTTCGCGGACGACGAGGGGTGGGAGGACGTGTGCGACGGGGTACAGGACGTGGTGTTTACGGGCGAGGTGCGTTTCTTTTCCACTGTTTCAATGTTTCCTTCACGTCACCAATACTCGGACTTTACCACTACTTTACTCGTTGTTTTTCTTTCGTCAATTTGCGTTCCCCAGTCCGT